CTCTCTCTCTCTCTCTCTCTCTCTCTCTCTCTCTCTCTCTCTCTCTCCCTCCAATGTGCAGCAGTAAGCATTTAGATTGTTTTACAGATTGTGTCTATCCCCCTGATAAAAGTAGGCAGGACCACACACACACACTTACACACACACACACTTACACACACCACACACACTCACACACACTCGTTTCATTCTCCTCGTACGAGTCTGAGATTTAAGGCACACATTCTATGGTGGTTTTCTGTAGCATGTGGTTGGAAAAGGATGTAAAATAAAATAAATGTAAGAGTGACAGATGAGGAAGGTGAGTGCTGGGGAAATGATGTTTGTGTTATAATGAAGATGAATGAGCCAGTTTTTAGCTTTTTCTAAGAGCAGAGAGAGAAGGATGTGGATAAGTGCTCTCGTGTAGAGAAAGAGGAGGGGTGAGAGCAACAGAATAAGTGTTTGAATGTTTTTTTATCCCCTCTTTCTAGGGAAATCTGATATCACGTTCATCAAACTCCCTCACTGACAATCTCGGGACCAGGTGTATATAAAACATGGTCAGATGCTGAATTTTCATTGATTTGCTGCATGATTTCGAACACATGTAGCTGTTGTAATATCTGCAGCACTCTCTCTGTCCTGGTATTATCTATATCCTTGTCTCTCCTAATGCGATGACCTAATATCCCCATAGGGATCATTAAAGTTTCATCCAGCGTAATTTAATTTAATTTATGGTCAAATGTAGAGAGAGCAACTCTGCCTGTGTGTCCTGTGGGAAAATCTGTATGGAACATGTGAAACGACATCATAAGAACCATCACCAACAACAAAAATATAATTCATTTCAATGACTACATTACCTAAAATGCCATTCACGTCAATGTATTAGCCAGGTGTCCATGCTGGAATGGGGTCTATCATACTAGCCGTCTAGTTTCTGGGTGCAGTATTTCAGATGCAGAACTAATTTGACAGCTTTCTTACAATAGCTGGTTTAATGAGATGCATGAAGCAAAATTGCCCATCAGCACAGCTCTGTTTCAGACACAGAGAAGCACAGCAGACCTTTTGGAATCCCATAATAGTGTAAAATGAATGAGGACCGGGTTATTGCACTTTTCTGGTGATAATGGGAGGTGCAGCTGAGTAAAACAAAGAGTCTGTTCTGTCCTTGCGGTCTATACTGCTGACCGTCACATACTATTCAACCACCTTTACTCCAGTTTTCAGCTCACATTATAATAGACTTTTGTGGGAACATTTCTCCCACACCATGCTGGTAGTTTTCCTCTTCCCATTTATCAGGTTAAATGGGTAGCGAGTACAAATGCACAGGTATTCCATGTAGCTCACCGAACCCTTATTCCATACAGTCATGACTCCTTCAATAATGCAGGGGTAGCAAGCTAAGCCTGAGCATTTGAAATGCTTGTAGGTGCAGAGGGAGAATGGTATATAAACTATAGAGGCATCTCATTTACAATAGGTAATTTATCAAGGCAGTGGGCAGCATGCTTAGACCCCAGGAGCCCTGAGCATATACACGCACAGTGGAGCTGATTTACACACGCATACACATAGGTGCAGAGAAGTGCAGACGCATGCACATGCAATGACACGCATAGACATGCTAACAATAGACATACATGCTCTCAGATTTACACACACCAGCTATAGTTCCTTTAATAGAGTGTAGGGTAATGATTTAGGTGCTCTGCTGTCTGCTTGCTGGCAGCACATAAAGAATTATAATCAATAATCCATATCTATTTCACGAATGGGTCGCCTACACGCACACACATGCCTATGCGAGTCAGCACACACATCTGTGCACACAATGACAAACTAATGCAACACACACTCTCATACAAAGCAGTCGAGTGTGTCATATAAATGTCTATGTGTGTGTGTGTGTGTGTGTGTGTGTGTGTCTTAAGTATCTTATCTGGACCAAAGACCCACACTCACACAAGCAACAAAACCTAAAATCTATCCATCGTTCATATTGACAAGAAGCAGAGATAATGAGATTTGATGAGATGTGTTTGCACCAAGGACGCATATCAATTTGTGGTGGTTGAGGCACATACCATATAATCACAACGTTCATCTTCGTACACTTCCAACAGTATATATTTACAGTATACCATAAATGTGATGAAACTCACACAGGCACAGCAAATTTCATTATTTACAGTGTTATAAGTTAAAAGTTCTCTCTCTTTGTCCCCACTGTCCTTTTTCCCTGAATAGTATCTAATAAAGGACAAATGCCCTGAAGGAAGATCCAATAATAAAGGACAAATGTCAATAGCTTAAGGTGGCAGAGCAAAGGGACAGAGAGGATGAAATTGAATGAGCAAATGATAAAATAAAAGTGGAGAGAGGAAGAGAAGTAAGGGTGAAAGAGAAGGAGGAGGCATTAGGTTAAATGAGAAAAAGAGGCAGGAGGGTGTGTTTGTTTATTTGTTTGTTTGTGTCTGTATATGTGGGACCCAGACAACATTCTGCTGCTGGTTCACTAGAGGGTTTATCTGCTCTCTGTCTGCCAAGGAAAACACAGACACAACACACACAAACACACATTCACTTGAAAATATCATGAATGAAAAAATCTCATAACATAAGTGAACTATGCCATGTTGAAGATAAACATTTTAGATAGTTGACATAAACTCTCTGAAAGTTGCACTTTTTCAAAATAATAAATCAATCAGTTTTTAAAGAGAAAATTGAGGTTTGACAGTGTTGCTAGTCTTTTGAAAGATTATTTGGGAGTTGTTGAAATGTCAGTACTTCTGAAGCCAAAAAACCATCAGAATACACAAATGAATGAACATGAATTATTATTAAATAGGAAACTAAAGGCGTGTGGGAAACCAGGCTCTGGTTTCTGACCATCTGGAAAGGAGAAGGGCAGAGATTTACTGTAGTATACTGTAGTGTATGTGTGTCTTTCTTTCTTTCTTCTATTTAGTGGAACAACAAAACACAGACACACACAGAAAACATTTACTGCGACTTCAGGAATAAACGTTTTTAATCTCTCTGTCTTTCGTCAGATCTCCCAGATGATCTCTGAGGACTCCAGAGAAGGTTTGACCGAGGCGGCCCTGAATCGCTACAACACACACTCTCCTTCACACACCAATTCAACATCACACACAAACTCGCCGTCTCACACGCCAGCTGTAACCACGACCGCGCCGATCACCACCACCTCTGCTGCCGCCTCCTTCTTTGCCAGGTAAGATGCATTCAGATCAGAGCACCACACATGGAACGATGTCACCTGACGTCCTGTTTTATCTGATCTCTCCACACAGCGCCGGAATGCTGGTCTGTTATTTGGCAAACTTTCTAATATTAATGGTCAGGAGGTATATGCTATTCTGTATTGTATTTGATATCATCTAAACTGTCAACCGACAGCTCTACAATCAATGTGAGTGAATGGAACAAAACCAGAGTGAGAATTTTCTAGAGAATCACAACACTGATATGAACACTAATCCCACAAGGATTATTTTTTTTAAGATTCAGCTGCATTATAGGGACTAGAAGAATCAGAAATACGGAGAATGTTAGGCATGATAATTTCAGTAAAAACAAGGGTGTGAGATGCACTTTACTAGCTGATTTGTGCCAAATTAATCTTTAGGTTTGGTTCATAGACAGACACGGTCCGGCTGCTCACGCTGATGTCTCTCAAGTTGTCTAATAAAGCAGAAAGAATAAAAGAATGGGAATACAAACCATAGCTACAACTATATTGTAAAATTTTGGAAAATTAAGTTGTTGGAAAAATGAAATACTGTTATATATTGTGCCTAAGCGTACTTACTTATTTTTTTATGTGTTAATTCATAAATTACCTATCCAGTCAGTGGTCATTGATGAGCCGTGTAATCAAATCTAGAGAAATGCAGAGCGACAACGTAAATAAGACACGGGTAATCTGGGTAAATTATTGATGAATAAACATGGCAAGCTCGAAATTAATGAGTAAATTATTCATGGGTAACACAAGACTATGGGTGTGTCACAGTGTCTGAAGTATTGCTGAGACGTTGTATCTAATGAGCTGCTTTAAATCACATTTTGAATGATACCATTGGTTTCCCTCCTCACTTTCACACATACTCTCTCCTCTCCTCCATTGGTGTGCACATTCCTGTATTTTTTTCTTGTGTCTGTTTTCCAAATCTGCAGATAATTCAGTGTGTATTTGATATATGAGTGATGTGCGTCAGTGTGGCAGACAAAGTGCTGTCTGGCTTATAAGCACCTGTGACCAGGCGCAACTCGTACATTTTATGGGAATGCACCCACAGACACGTGCACACACTTTCTTTAGCTTTGCTTCTATGACCCCCTGAACTTTCAGGTAAAAAGGCCATTTCACTCACACACACACACACACACACACACACACACACACACACACACACA